TGATACCACTCTCAATTAGGATAGGTTGGGTTAGGTTAGATTCGTGTTTATTACCTGGAAGTGACGTTTATATGTGGATATTCACGTGTGCCGTACGCCTAACCGCGAGAAATCGGATACGGCTGCCGTACGCGTAACACCGGCCTTATTAGGTATGGAATAGCGACGTTCTAAATGCACTAATAAACTTGTAAAAACCCCGTGTCAATCGAAACATACATCCCATACATATTTTAATCATCTCTGCATTTGTCACATTCTTTGTATTGCACAAGCTTACTGATAAAAATACAAGTTTAATGGTTCATAATCCAATGATCACATTTCTAAGATATATATATATATATATATATATAATATATATATATATATATATATATAAAGTAATGGAATTGAATTTCGAACTTTCGAACTCAAAAAAAAAACAAACATAGAAGCCAATATGGTACTGATAATATAGTGGTATTGTTGATTGATGATAGTAATGGCAATATAAAGATAATAATGATAATGATAATGATAGTAAAGAGACTAATAGTAGTAATAAAATGGTGATATTGATGGTAATGATGGTAACGAAAGTGATGATAATGATAATAATATAGCATAAAAATGATAGTGATAATAATGATAGTAATAATAATGATATTGATAATGTTCAAGATGATAATGATGATGATAATGATAATTATGGTGTGATGATTATGATGATACAAAATAATGCTATATGATACCACTGATAATAGTATTAATGATTGTTTTGATTATAATGTTACTAATGATAATGATTATGATGATAAAGATGGTGATAATGATAATAGCAATGATAATTTTGATGAAAATGATAATAATAATGATGATAATGATAATAATGACGGTGACGATGATGATAATAACAATAATGATAATGGTGATAGTATGATGATAACAGTAATGATAGTAATGATAATTATGATAATAATAATAATCATGATAATGATAAAGATGATAATGATGATGATAATGATAAATATGGTGTGATGATTATGATGATGCCAATATTGATAATGCTATATTATACCACTAATATTACTACTAATGATAGTGATACTTATAATGATACTAATACTAATGATTATGATGATAAAAGTGGTAATAATGATAATAGCAATGAATACCATGGTAATAATGATAAGAGCAGTAACAATATGGTTGTTGCTGACACAGATAATGACGGTAGTAGATATGACAATGGAAATCAAAATGTAATAATAGTGATAATAATAATTGTTATGATGTTGATAGCAGTAATGATAATAATGATAATAATGGTGATGGTGATGATGATGATGATTATGATGATGATAATGATGACAACAATGACAGCAATAATGCTAGCAGTGATGATAATAATGATAATTACAATGGTAATGATAATGATAATAATAGCAATGGTAATGATAATTTTAATATACATATTTACGGCAAGGGTATTATCAGTGATATAACAAGTAATGGCAATAATTAAAACTTATTATTAATGATTATTAATTAGTTATAGTAATAATGAAGATGACAATGCTCAAAATAGATTTAATATAAGTAATGACGATGAAACTGTAATAATAAATCATTGATATGATGATAGCAGCAATAATGTGAATATAACTGAATAAGAGTTAACATGATCATAAAAATAGTGGTAATTTAGAAAAAAAAAAATATGAATAAAAATGAATATTTTCACAATTCAAGAGTTATGTTTAACCGGTTTCGAATCTATTTTCGTCAGAAGGGATATTCGAAACCGGTTAGATACATCTCTTGTATTGTGTAGATGATCATTCTCCTTCATACCATTTCTACATTTGTCAACATGAATACGATTCGATAGTGGTAATAATAATAATCGTTAAGATAATGCAACGCTAACATAAACAATAGTTCAACAATAAGCACAGTTACGGATGTGGTAACAATAAAAAAAAAAAATAGTGTTATATAGGAATTGAAGACCACTTTTTGTTTGATTTACTATGTGTAAAGTATTAATACCTCATGACCCCCCTTCCTCTGTGTCTGTAATGTCTTTGTTAAATACAGGATTTTCACTTCATATGGTAGACATTTGCTTTTATATGATTAAAAAAAATATTATTTGTCTCTCATCGTTATCATTGTGAATGATGATTATAATTTTATATTGGATTAATATTTTCTTCCATGTTCTTGATGAGAATCGCTGCTGGATCTGTGCGCTCTTGGTCGATGCGTAACAAAACATGTTGAATTATATATTCTTTTTCCTATTCATTCTGCCCTTTCATTTCCTTCTTTCTTATGCGCGTTGATAATGTATAAAACAGGAAAACAATAGAGGGTGCCTAGGCCTATTTGGAAGACCTGTCTCCCAGTCTCTTGTGTTCTATATTTCATTTCTTTCTCCCCCTCACCCTTCCTTTCTTTCCTCTCTCTTTGTCTTTCTCTTTCTCCCTTTCTCTCTCTATCTCTCTCTCTCTCTCCCCCTTTCCCTTTTCCCCTCCTCTCTCTCTTTCTCTCTTCCCCGCCCTCTCTCTTTCTCTCTCACTCCCCCCTCTCTCTCCTTCAGTTTCTTCCTCTACCCCTTCCTTCCTCACTCTACATCTCCCTGTCCTCTGCCTTCCATTACAGTATTATCGTTCCTCCATTTCTCTTTATTGTATTACACTAAGGCTTGGGAGAATGATTTCCTGTGGATGAGAAATTATAGTGGAAGTATTATTTTTCACTCTTGTGCAATGATATGTTATCAAGCTGCTGGCGGTAAGATATATAAAAGATGATGCATTGCGATTAAAACTGTAATAAAGATAAGCCACGTGGCAGAAAGGGTTGCGGTACAGTCTGGATAGAGTACAGTTACACTTTCCGCGATGTGAACAGGGGCTGTAAATATTATTTCATTCCTTAGTTGGCTAAACCGCTAGACAAAAGGCACACGCACACATATATGTATGTATTTATAGATAGATAGATAAAAATGAATGAATGAATAAATGAATAGATAAATTATATAACACACACAAACGTATATATATATATATATATATATATATATATATATATATATATTATATATATGTATATATATATGTAACTATTATCTATGTGTATATATGTTATATATATATATGTATATATATGTATATATAAGTATATATATGTATATATATGTATATATATTACTATATGTATGTATATGTACACACACACACACGCACGCGCCACACACAAAGACACAGCACAGACACAGACACACAGACACATACACACACAGACACATGTATATACACACACACACCTATGTATATAAGTGTGTACAAACGTAAATATGTATATACATATATAGATACATATATAGTATATTTATGTATATGTATATGTATATATATGTATAATGTGTATGTGTATGTGCATATATATATATATATATAATATATATATATATATATATATATATATATATATGCACATAAATATGCACATGTATTGGCTNTGATATGATAATCCTGACGGTGTACTTATTGTTGCCCGACTCTTGATATGATAATCCTGCATCCTGGGGGTGAAGTCTGTTAATTGACGTCTTATGCAGTTTATGTGAGGGAGCTCAGGATGTAGCATGGTTGGACCTACCAGGAAGATTGTCTTCCTGCTATCATAACTGTCTCTCTCTCTATCTCTCTCAGTCTTTATCTGTCTGTCTGGCTATCTATCTGTCTATTGATCTTCCCTCAAGACAAACACGGAGAGCGAGGTAAGATAGTGGGATACTCACACACTCTCAGTCGACCACGGACACTACCGACCTAAACCCAAGCCCTAAGTTGTCCTTACAACATGCAAGGCCCACCACCATATCAAGGTACTGTTCTGTGGCATCCCCTTGCTCCCACAAGTATTATTTGAACCTTGAAAAAGAACAGAACAGCGTTGCATGAAGTGAACACGAAAAGAGAAATTTATGTGAATACGAAAAAGGACAGCATTATGAAAAGAAAAATATGAAGACATCATATAAACAGTACTATTACATAATATGAAGAGACAACAGTGAACATTAGAAATGAAATTTCCTTTTACAGTTTGCATCTTTTTACAAGGGATTGTGCAATTATTAAATTATTTCCTGGGCTAACTCGCTCTCAATGGCCGCCTTTGCATGCCACAAAGATGGTTTGTGTATAGAAACAAGCTTAGTTATTTTCTTCATTCGCAATGTCGTAGTTCATTATTTATTCCCTTTATTTTTTATTTGCCACATTTACTACCTCTGTATTTCCAAGAATTACTCCTTGTGATAAGGGAAAGTAAGCACCGAGTATGGGGATTGCGTTTCCGTTTTCCTCTTCGTGTGTGTGAATGAGACGCTGGCATGCTTACGCGGCTTTCCTGGAGGTCCGCGGAATATGCCATGCTGAGTTGGTTGTTTTCTCTGACAGGAACGTGGGTCTGGATTTTGTCTTTGTTTCGATGAACCACCGGATTAAAAAAAATAGAAAAGAAAAGAAAGAAAAAAAAATGGTGATACAATTCCCATGCTGTAAAATGAGGTGACATGCAATTACTTTTTGAAACGAATGATTAGTCAAAATTATTTAAATGTCATCATATTGTTTCATATTTACCAATTCCCTTTTCACTTTCTTTTAAGACAATTTTCTTATATGCAAGTTTCCATTCAGATGTTCTGGGATATTTTAGTCTTAAATCGTTTACCATACAATCTCACTGAAATTACAAAGCCTCCATAGCTAATTGCAAATCGCTTTTAATTATTCTAGGCTTTCCCAAAACCGGTAAATATTCTTACCATCAGATTGAGAGGGTCAGCAGATAATCGCAGTCCTTAAAATAACAAGGACCTCGTTTTGTTTTTGTTTGTATTAATGTTTGAAATATCTAAATGATTCCCTAAGGTAGTTTCATTTATCTTTTTAGAAATCTCGTTAGAACGCCTTGGATTTCAGTGAAATGGAAGA